ATGTAGAATAAACTCGTGATTTTGTGTTCCTCTTCCCAACCAGCTGAGTGATTTTACCCAAAAAAAAATAAACACATTAAATGTTCTAGAATTTCACTAAACCATAAAAAGAATGTGGTATGGTATACCTAAACATCCTTAACTTGTGCCTTTTTTATTGGAATATTATGATTTACTTATCATTGAAAATTGGAAAAAGGAGGGCAAAAGTGGAAATTGGCAAATGTGCTCTTGGTCTTATAAAACAATTTTTTAAAAAGCAAAATGACACTTCATGAAATAGAGGGAGCGTTTGTCTGTATAATTAATTTAACTTGGATGTCAATATACAGTTGTGGTTGTATGTCAAAATGTATTGGTACCATTGACAGGGATTTACATGGTTCAGATCAGGGTGTGCTTCTATGAAGGGTTTGAGTGTTAGTATTGACCTTAGTAATATGAAACATAATACATTCATGTGATGGTTAAAATAAATGAAGAAAGTAAGAATAAGCTCTTTAGCTGTTAGGAGTAATATCTCAACAAATACATAATGCATTTGTTTGGCAGCTGAGTTTTTGGTCCTTGGGCTTGTCAATTTGGGAACCCCATCCCTGATATATTATTGGCAAAGAAATATTATCTACTCTGAAAGTTTTTATAAAGTTAGTTATATACTCCGTAGTAACTTAAGATAAAACAATGTGTTTAGCAGACATTGTATGCAATGGATGCATATTTACACTAAGTTGGTGCTAAAGCCAGATGCTTTTGGAGTAAGTTAGCTCTTGTAAGAATTTTCAGTTGTTTGCAACGTTGTGAAAACTATGAACTCAGACTTAGAGATTCGTGGCCAAGGAATACTTACTCCCGCAGTCATATGGGTAATTTCGGTGGGTCATTTTTACAAGGAAATATGAAGAAAGATTTATGTGAAGAGCTGGGGCCTAGGTGTAAGGGATAACCAGCATATGTCATCATCATCATCATTACCTCAGTGCCGCAAAGGCTCCCACCTACGGTGGGCCAAGGGGAGGGTCGGATGCACGCAGTCTTACCCATGTACTAAATCACAGAGAGACTCTTTCTTGATGACCCATAGTGAAAATTGCATCAAAAATTGCATAGATTGACTGCTGCTTCATAGCAAAGAAGCGCAGACAGTTTAGTGAGTCATTTGGCTTTATTCCATCATATTCCCAAGCAAAAAAACAGTGAGTCTTTTGTTCCATTGCAAATGATGGAAGTGGATAACCTACATATGTAATCAACATATTTTTACTTTGATTCATTTTGTTCTGTGATCTGCTTCTGAAATCCTGTTTTAGTACCCCCATATCTGTATTTATTTTTTTTAGTTTGGCTATAACTTGGAAAATGCAAAGAAAAATGAAATATTCTTACTTTTTCTTTTAAAAAAATCATATGTTTATACTTTTATTAGTCTTTATATAATAGAAATAAATAATTAAATAAATAAGTGAATCCGTATATAAAATGAAATTGAACAAATATCTACAAGTCATGGTAAAAAACAATATGAATTTGTGTGGCTGCATAATGTGAACTTTATTCAAAATTAATTTAGAGTGAAAACTAGACATGTTTTATCTTCTGCTTCAGGATTCGTGCTTAGTATCCAAGGGTTCCAAGCACACCCTTTTTACCATATCTTTGCAATTTACCCTAATCAGATTCAGAACTAACTGTGAAGCTCTTTTTCTCATCCATAGAAATAATAAATAGTTAGTTGTTAAAACTATTACTATACACCCTGGTAATTTTTACAACCAAAAGGCAATACTTTTACTTCAAAATAGATAGATAAAAGTTACACTAATAAAATCCTTTGGGAACTTTAAAAAAAAAAAATCATATAACACTTGATGCTTGCTCATACATGTTTGTGCTATTTATGCCATCTCTTTCTTCGTGTAGGTAGCGTTTCACCCTCAAAGGGTATGGATAGATTCCAGGCCATCTTCAAGATGTCAAGAAAGACATTTGAGTATATATGTTCACTAGTGAAGGATCACATGATGTTAAAGTCAGCAAGTTCTGTGTTCACAAATGGAAAGCCGATGTCGTTACATGAACAAGTAGCTCTAGCCTTGCGAAGGCTATGCTCGGGCAATTCCCTGATTGTGGTTGGTGATTCCTTTGGTGCGCATCACTCCACTGTGTCTCAAGTGACATGGCGCTTTGTGGAGGCCATAGAAGAAAGCGGGGTCCACCATCTCCGGTGGCCTTCATCAGAACCGGAGATGAAGCGGATAAAATTGAAGTTCGAACAAATAAGGGATCTTCCTAATTGTTGTGGCGCCATAGACACTACACACATCACGATGATGTTATCCACGTCCGAGCAAACTGCTGATGTTTGGGCTGATCAGACCGGGAACCATAGCATGATCCTTCAGGCAATCGTGGACCCGGATATGAGGTTCTTAGATATTGTCACCGGTTTGCCAGGAAAGATGGATAGCTCGTCGGTCCTTCAAAGCTCATCATTCTTCAAGCTTTGCAAGAAAGGGGAGAGGTTGAATGGGAATAAAACAAAGATATGTGGAGAAGCAGAAATGGGAGAGTATATAGTTGGCAGTTCGGGGTTTCCTCTTTATCCGTGGTTAATGACTCCTTACAAAGGGAAAGACCTTTCGGGACCCAAAGCTGAATTTAACAAGAGACATTATGCGACTCGGATTGTCGCGCAGAGAGCGCTGACGAGGTTGAAGGATGTGTGGAAAATGATTCACGGAAACATGTGGAGACCTGACAAACATAAGTTGCCAAGGTTCATACTTGTTTGTTGCATTCTCCATAATATCATCATTGATATGGAAGATGAGGTTTTGGATGAAGAGATGCCTCTCCCTCGCCGTCATGACCCTGGATATCCACAAGAGGTTTCTGAGACCATTGATGAAACTGGTTCTGTCATGAGGGATCATCTCTCCCTATATTTATACGGTAAAAAATTGCAGAAAACCCATGCAGAGTAATGTAAACCAGACTGTTTTTGCAGGTTGGGTTTTCCCTAATTTTCTTTATATACATTATGCCTTTTTAAAAAAACTGAATGTATGTTGGTTACATTTCTTTATATTTTGAAACTATCATTTAAAAAAAATTGAAAAATATCTGAAAGCATATTGATAAACGGGAAAAGGTGCAAATAGGCCCATGTACTAACCAAAAAAGGTCAAATAAGCCCTTATTTAGGAGGCTTTGTCCAGCCGTCGCCATTTGGAGTGGTTCCCGGTGGATTTTTTGATGAACTTTTTTGAGCATCTTATTCATCAAGTCTAGTTTATTCATACCAAATTTCAACTAAAACTTCAATCGGGAAGACATTCAAATGAATTCTTGAAATTAACTTCGCAGTTAGAAGCGCAGTTATCTTCAAGAATTCATTTGAATGCCTTCCCGATTGAAGTTTTAGCTGAAATTTGGTATGAGCAAACTAGACTTGATGAATAAGATGCTCAAAAAATTTCATCAAAAAATTCCACCGGGAACCACCCCAAATGACGACGGCCGGACAGAACTTCCTAAATAAGGGCTTATTTGACCTTTTTTGGTTAGTACATGAGCTTATTTGCACCTTTTCCCTTGATAAACAAACTGTTCTTCTTTTGGTCCCAAAAATATTGGATAATTTCCACTCTAAAGCCCACTCGGGGTTATTGAACGGCTGAATTGACTCAAATAGTCATTGAAAGTGTTTTGTGAATGTAATAGTTAATTGAGAGTCCGTCTGGTAACACTAAAATTGGTTGATTCTGCTGAAATTTATGAAGTTCTGGTTGAAGTGATTGGATTGACTGATTTATGAGAAAAAAACATTTAAATTGTTTTTACTAATAAAATAAAGAAAAAATATATATGACAAATAGTTAAAATGATTCTTTATCGTAGCTTCAGCCTATATAACGGGAAAAGTAACCCAACCCTTATTTTTTCTTATTATTATAAAATTCAGCGCACGAATGTGGGTCACCAAACAGGCTCTGAATGTGTCATTACCTAAAATGATAGTGTCATTTGAGCTGAATCACCCAAAAAATAAGGGTAAGGGTGAACTTTTGGCTGAAGATTGTTGTCGGCAGAATCAAAGTCCTGCAGCGTTTGGTGATTATTGACATATTCTCATGGCCATTCAGCCCATTCAAACACGCCAAACAAGCTCTTAGTTCCTGACTTCCCTTTTGGTCTTTTCTGGCTAGGTATCCAGCAAAAATCAATCTGACACTGCCAGGATAATGTATATATAGAGGGACCAGTAATGCTAAAAAAAACTCACAGTCAAGCACCAAAAGAGGAAAACATACTGGAATCCTAGCATCCTACTCTCTTATGATGAAAAGTGGAATATTTTTTAACTCATACTCTCCATTAGGAAATAGATGCAACATTGAATCATATTTATCGATTATATTTATCATAAAATTAAAGTCAATCATGCTCCTCATTTATTTAAATATTTACATTAAGTACTTTACTTTATTTTTAATTTTTATTTACATTATACTTGTATCATAGTTTCGTTTTCCTGATTTCCTTAAAATAGTACCCGTAGGCAAATAAATTAAGACTCTCCTCCAATTTGTATTCTCCCTATTCTCTCCTTGGCTATACAGGTTAATACTTGAACATCCAAAAGTGCTGCAGTGCTCCATTCTTTATTTTTATAAAAAAAATAGCATAACCAGCGCATTCAAATGAGCTTTATTCTTTACAAATAACATCAGAAGCCAAGAAGATTTGGTTCTAAAATGGATTGCAGTTGTTTAAAATAATGACTACAAGAATCTTTCTCCTCCTTGTATCGATCTTATGGCTGGGTCTCCGTTTTTTCTTGAAGGAAATAAAGGGTTAGAGAAATGATGTAGAAAGAAAGAAGATGGTCAAGGGAAAGTGAAGAAGATAGAGATATAATGGGTGAGAGTAAATATTCATTAGGTGTGTGTCTGGCAATGAAAGGAAGAAGAGAGGGAGATGGGGTTAACCAAGGGTATTGATTATTGAACTCAATTTACCTATTATTTAATAGCCAAAAGAAAAGAAAGAAAAATACCCAAAAGAAAATGTTTGCAATTACTTTGAAAAGCTAAAAAGGGGAAGTTTTGCAATTATTTAAGAATGCAGCAAGTATACAACATACTGCTAGTACTCGATAATGACACTCAGCTGGAGTTTAGTTTTCTCAGCAAAATGAGAGAACTTGTGTCTACAGATTAAATCAAGAATTTTCCATGGAGGACAAGAATCTCTTCCTCCATTCTTCCTTAACAGAATCTGAAACCGGTTTGTCATCAATGAAAGCGTTCCATACATCCCCCTTGCGATTGCCAAGTACCCATTTGACTTTCAAGGGTGGCTCCCCAAACGAGGACTCCTCCTCTCTAGATGGTTTGCTCGCCGTCGTCATGTTGTGGTTCACTTTAAACATCTTAGACAATGGCCTGTTCTCATTAGTCAATTCACTCAAGTGTTTCTGAACAGATACCATGGACCGAAACTTCCTGCCCGTGCCAGGTTCATAGTAATACTAGCACAAAAAAATACAATTATAGGCATTTGGTCAGTAACAAGCATGCAGAGATTTCATCACAAGAGTAAAAAGATGATAGACAAACCATACCTTATCTGTGAGGTTTTCATTTTGACGGGGTACCTCTTCCACTACCCAGCCATCAGGAAGCTGGCAGGGCGGGGCTTCTGGGGTCTCGGCACTTCCAGAAGGTACGATTGCCCAATGGTTTGGATTATGCTCTTCTTCATCCATATTCAACACCTGCAAATATTGTTGTGGCACATTAAAGACAAACTTTTACTTTTAAGTCTTAGGCCGTGTTTACTTCAAAGGGGTTAAGCAGTGCTTACTAACCCCTGTGTTAATAAGCTGTGTTTTAATAAGAAACGTTTAATAAACATGTTTTTACTTTAATATAATATCATGCTTAGTAACACAAATATGTGTTTACTTCATTGGGATTAAGGTATACGATAACGGTAAGATGTAAAAAACAGCCTTCAACCTTTAATTACTTTCCTCTGCAATTCCTTCTTTTAAATGTTTCTCTCTACTCTTTCTGAAATATATATGGAATGACAGATTTTTACAATTATATTCTTTCTCACCTCCGAATCAGCCACCAATCGAAGAGATGTTGTACTCAACCACTCACCCAACCAGCAATCTTCTCCAGTTAACTTTAATTTTTTGTTTGGGATAAAAAGACGGAATATTGGTGTGCTTCAATGTTCAAACAACTAGATTGAAAAGGGAAATTCAGAGCAAAAAGGACATACCCGCACAGAAATTCTGATAAAGTATTCTATAATCTATTTAATAGGAAGTAAGTCTAATCTAGCGATGTGAAGAAATACCAGGTAAATTGAAAAATATGTAACTAACAAGTAAAAAACTAACCTAAAGAAGGAAATCTAAAAAAAATGGAGTGTGATTGCATAACAGATATTGAAGATACATACATGCGATGGTGTAACTTTCATTGGAGGAGGAGGATTCATGGTGACTGGATATAAGGGTTATACGCAATGGCTTTGTTAGGGTTATACGCAATGCCTTCGTTAGGGTTATATGCAATGATAGAAGGGCTATAAGTGTAAATAAAATTTCTGCAAGTTATAATGTTGGGACAGGATGGTCATAATAAGAGTTTAAAACGCCGACTAATTAATACATGGGGATGTGGAAGTTTAATAAGCAGGCATTTAAGACGTTACGATGCTTACTACATGTACATTTTATCTGTCCAAATCGTTTACTAGACTTGTATTACTAACCTAACAATATAACTAACGGTGAAGTAAACATGTCCTTAGGGACCATTTGGTGAGGGTTACTTTACTCAACCTGTTGAACTTTTTGAAAGGGGAAGATTTAAGTAACATTCATTTCAACTAAATAAGTCAAATCTACTTATTCTTCCCAAAAGCAAATTCATCAGAATAAGACACCTTTGGCTACCAAATGGTGCCTTATCCAACTTAAGAACCTTAATAGTTTTCCAATGATGCTCAATATATTTTTAGTCATCTTCTCATTGAGACAAAAAGAACTTATCTGCATTCATAACTCAATATTAAAATCTGTTTGATCATTTGAGTCTTAGTGGAATTGAAACCGGCTTGTAGAAAACACGTAAAAATAGCATTGGATCATCATATTTGCATTGTACTACTTCCATTCTTTGCATTGTACTACTTCCGTTATTTTTCAATAAATTTCACTTTTTCAAAAAAAAAATCATCATTGCAACATTACTTGGCATTTTGATCTAAGAATTTCTAACATTATACAAGAGAACTTGCCTTTCCACTATGAACAATCATCTTCCTCGGAGACGAACTCTGGTGGAACAAACCAAAGAAAAAACATACATGAAACATTAGAAATAGCTGGGAAATTCCTAGTAAATCCAGATATGAAAGAATTCAAGCATGTCAAAGTACCTCAGGACGATTACCCGAGATATAAATCCGTTTAACTTCTTCCCCATTCAGGTGCCTCTCAACGTCTTTCAATGATCTGAACTTCTTTCCGGTATCTGGCTCGAAGTAATACTGCAATAAGATCAACCTCTTTTGATCAATCACTATCCAATTTTTGCTGGTAACCGTAAAAAAGCTACTCTGGGCGAAGATGAAGAAGAAACAATCAAAGAGATTAAAATATAGCGGGAGAAAAAGAGAGGAAGAAAACTGATCACCCTGTCAAATTTGGAGCGGTCGGAGCGAAAAACTTCTTCGACCCTCCAACCGGCGGGCAGACTAAACCCGGTGTTGGTAACGAGAGAGGATGCGGGTGGTGTCACAGAGACCAATTGACGGTCCGAGACGGAGGAGTCGCCGCCGGTACGGGGAGGCTTCCGCGTTGATGTCGACAACGCGCGAGCCTTAGATTTCCGTTTCACCATGTTCGGCAAACGCGAAAGTGCTGCTGGTTAGAGTGGAGCAGCGTGAAACGTATTACTTGTGAGATGTTGACTACTGCCACAGGCCCACAACCTTCTAAGAAGGTCCTTATTCTTCTCAAGTAAAACATTGCTCTATTAAGCTTACGGCCTTACGGGTAGCTTTCATCTATGTTTAAAAAACCGACCCGACCCGGCCGGGTTGACCCGGAACCCGGTGACCCGGACAAAAAACCGGTTCGGTTTTTTCAAAACCCGGAAATGGTCAAAAACCGGAAAAACTCGGCTGACCCGGGAAAACCCGGTCAAGACCCGGACCCAAGAAACCCGAAAAACCCGGTAAAACCCAGTTTTTGGGTGTTTTTATCAAAAAAAGTAATTTCTTTTTTATTTTCAATGCATTTTTTAAACTAATAAAATTGCAATTTCAATACCTTAAAAAGAAAAACTACGTGATATATTTATATATTTATTTAAGAATGAACATCATGCCAAATTATAATATAGATGTACAATAAAAATAAAAATATCATTATATATTTTTATAAGATCAAAATATACATTGAAATATTATAAGAGTGTATTAAATGCTTAATAAGTAGTATTGTTAGTTGATTATTATGAATAACAACTACTCCGTAATTTTTATTATAATTTTATATATAATTATATGTTTACTATTATTATATAGACGTATAATCATTGACCGGTTTTCCGGCGTTGACCGGGTTGACCCACCGGGTCCGGGTTGACCCGTGACCCAGTCATGTGGCCGGGTCACTCTCCGGTCCGGTTTTTACAACATAGGCTTTCATGTCCAACCCGCCTGATAAACAATCACCCAACCGAGGTTATTTGGGTCTCTTTTCGATATTAAATTTATTGAACATATTTTTCATCAAGTCTAATTTATGTTTACTAAATTTCAACTAAAAATTCAATCGGGGTGGCTATTATATATATACAGCGCAGTGTTTTTCAATTACAGATTTGATTGACTTCTCGATTGAATTTTTAGCTTAAATTTGGCGGAGATAAACTAGACTTCACAAAGAACATGCTCAAACATTTCATCAAAAAATTCCATGAAGGACCGACCTCAAACAGCCTTGACAGGATGGTGATTCCCGTCAGACCGGCTGGACATGAATTGCCCTCACATTTTATGTAGAAATGAAGTATAGTCCTCAATAAAATCGATGTCACACATTGGCACATTGCAACTGAAGCAACTAAAAGCAACCAGATTCTATCGTTCCAAAAGGTAGAATCCTCAATTTCAATAACCTCTTACGACATAACCCGATAGAGCATATAGGGGTTCTAAATACAAAGGTGTCCACTGCGCATAAGAAGTCCCCTCACTTTGACATGCTGCTTTGACACTTCGGTGAGATTCGATCTTGGATTATGCTTCCAAATTTTCACCTGTGTGTCCAACTGATCTTTTTGTATATTATATTTCCTTTCTTTTGAGTTTTGACTGATTCATGTTAGACGATCTTAAAATCTTTTGGAACTAAGCTTGAATGTCGTTGTTGTTAACCAAATGATGGTCCTCGAAAACCAACAAGCTTTTTATAACATTTCTAGTTATGTACATGTGATCATCAAAGAAAATTTTCATTTCAAATAGGTCTCACTCACTGGCATCACAAATAGATCTAAATATATAACTGGAGAGTCCAAGATGTAGAACTTTTCAACCGAATGAACTATTCTAATTTTGCATGAAATTCCAACTTATAGCCGAGGCAGTTAAGTTGTCGCCTTTCTAACCCTTGCATCACATGGAAACAAGCCATCGTTAAATTCAACTCAATGTATTTATGCATATGTTAATTTAATAAATAAGTTATCAATTCTTCCAAAAAGAATCAAGACACTATTAGTAAATGAGGTGCCACATCATTTAATAATCCAATTTGGTTCCAACTTGAATGTAATTAACAGGAAAGTTGATATGTAGCGAAATTCTGGAGAAGATAGTGTCAGACGCTCGTCGTAGTTTATCGAGAGTTTTCGGTAGATATTCAGAACGTAAAAATTATAATGTCTATGGGTGACTCGCAAATTGCATTGAGAGTGTAGATTCCAGAACTGGACTGGAACTTGATCAATCGCAATACCAGAATTGATCAGATCCACATATGGTTACATTTATCTAAAATGGGATCATACTAATTCAGTAATTCCTGCCATTTGATTTTTCCCTATAGATTTAGAATACAAAATACTCCGTAATATGGAACCAGAAACCAAATCTAATATGGAATTCTGATCTTGAGACAACGGAGCCACATTTGGAGAACGTAAGCTGGCCAGGGTTCACCCTAGACTCAAGTCCCTCAACCCATAGTCCATGATCTCAGTCTACTAAACGAGCTCGGCAAGGGCCTCAAGTAACCAGGGTCTCTGTCTTGCTTTAGCAGCAAGGTAGGGTGCCTGATCGAGAGAGACCGTCAAGTCGAGAATTCAACGGTTGGAAATATTTGGGATCCACTTTTTCGCGTGTATTGAGGCGTTCTTCTTGCTATCCAGCCGTCCGCTGCGCAAGGCACTCTGCCTTACGGAGCAGAAGATCTCAATCGAAGTAACCTAGTCAAGCCTTGATTCAATTACCTCCAGCACCACCAGACATGCTCAATAAGCGTATTGGATGATCCAACTCTGAAACATAGGTTTTGGCTAAACTTGCCAGTAGAATGGGTCAATGGGATGAGCCTGTGAGCATCATCATTTTTCACAGAACTTTTAGCATGTTTCTTCATTATGATACTCGTATATACTCCAACTCCGTATGTCAATACAAGTTAGCCTATCTGAAATTCTTTTGATAACAAGGCGGTGGTGTATGATCTTATAAAGTTGAAGGTTAAAAATAGTTTAATGCTGTTTCATTGAGATGCAGTGGAGTAAATGGTACATAATTATTGCACAGAATAAAATGCACGAGTAAAAGCATTGTCAACAGACTAATGCTCAAATACTGAGTAGAATTTTGAATCTGTAAAGTCCATTATCATCATTAGCATCGCAATTGCTGCGTTTTTTATAGAATTTTCGACTGTATTTCATACAGAGTACCTCATAACAAGCAACAAAATTACCATCTACTCTAACAGTCCCACATTGCATATTCAGTCAAAGTCACTGCCAAATCAAGACTTCAACCCAAACAAAATGTTCCTTTTCGGACAAAGGAAATAAACGAACCATCAGAAATGCAAAACAAGGACAACATTAGAGAAAACTTGACATTCTTGTTAGGCGTAATCAAAACAAGGGCCCAAATATTGCCAGAGAACTATTCGTGAACCACTTCAAGGAAGAAATTAGGAGATTACATTCAAGATCTTGTAAATGGCAACAATAGTTTTCATTGATTAATGAAGGGCAAACCTAAAAGAGAATGAACAACAGCAGTTATCTCTTCATGACCATTTCTGAACCACAACGAAAAGATAATGTAATACTACAATTACAAGACAACTACGAACATAATATTTCTATGCAGCTGCAGCCTTCTTAGGTGATTTGGTGGCCTTTGATGGGGATTTGGGCTCCTTCGTTGTTTTGTCAGCCGCTGTCTTCTTAGGCAACAAAACAGGGTTGATGTTTGGCAAAACGCCTCCATGAGCAATTGTTACCCCAGCAAGCAATTTCCCTAGCTCTTCGTCATTCCTAATGGCCAACAGAACGTGCCTTGGAATGATCCTGTTCTTCTTGTTGTCGCGAGCTGCATTTCCAGCGAGCTCCAAAACCTGTAGATGCCAAACAACCAACATTGAATTTTATCAGATAAGACTCCAAATCTGGATCAGTTGATTTCTGGACAACAGAAACCCTAAGAACAAAATTCAACTAATCTAACGGTATTTGCCAAACCCTAGGTCATGGAGAAAACAATCGCTAACATTAGACGTAGAGGAATAATAAGATTTTTCACCGGGAGCGAAAATGGAAACTTACTTCGGCAGCCAAGTATTCGAGAACGGCGGCCAGATAAACGGGAGCACCACTACCGACGCGCTGGGCGTAGCGGCCTTTCTTCAAGTACCGGCCAATTCTACCGACGGGGAACTGGAGGCCAGCACGGTTAGAGCGAGTAACAGCCTTCTTCTTCGGACCACCACCTTTCCGGCCGGCGGCTCCCTTCTTCACTTTTGCGGTGGTATCCATGTGAAATGAGGATTGCAGACAAAAATCCGACGAAGATTTGATGAAACGCTGTCTGAGAAACGAATTTGAGAGAAAATGGAGAATGCGATTTACGGTTGGGTTAGGCGGGGCGTTTTATAGTCACCTCGGAAGCATTTTGGTTTTCGGGATAGCTCATTGTGGCCGTTGGATTGAAGTTAATCGGTGGTAAAGAACAATGGACAGCTCCATCCGTGTCATTTGTATAGACCAATAGAAATCGAGTCTTGTTTATCATTTTTCTCATTACCTTCATTTTTATTTTAGGAAATTTAACTTTTCACCCCACTTTTTAAGTGATACTTTAAATTTTGCATTTCTTTTCTTTTTAAAATCCTTTTATTTTGCATCCCATTCGGAATTTTTTATTCACACAATGTTATATGACTGGGTGAAAAGTCAATTTTTTTTAAAATAGATGTGAAATCCAATATCACCCAAAAAGTGGGTGTGAAGTCAAAAAACTCATTTACTCTGTGTTTACGTAATTATTATAATTTTGGGACAATAACTGTGTCACAGATCAGACCTCTCACCTCTCGATCTCTAAGCAGGAGTTTTTTCCTTCAAACTATGACACATTTACATTTTATCATTTTGCTACATTTTTTATTCTTAGAAATTGTTTTGTTCATCTGATCTGAACTTTTTAAGACCGGTATGCTTTTTTAAGACTGGTATGATCTAATCTGAAATTTTCTTATCTGAATTTGTATATCTGATCCGATCTCAATCTTCCTTGTTTATATGAATCTTTCTAATTTGATCTTTTTATCGATCAATTCAGCCATTGCAACCAAATCATCATAATTTCCTTCAAAATTAGCCAATTCTGGTGTTATCAAAGAGACTCGATATGCAACACAAGAATTTTTTAAATATTCCATACAATGGACAAAAAAAGTAATTCTCAATAACATAAAAGTGAATC